GAGTGAAGAATTGTTGAGAGAGCGGTTTGGTGAAAACATCAGCTACTTGATCAAGAGACGGGACATGCTGCACTTTGAGCAGCTTCTTGGCAACTTGTGGTCTGATGAAATGAAGGTCGATTTCAATGTGCTTAGTTCGAGCATGAAGGACCGGATTGCTTGCTAAGGAGATTGTACTAAGGTTGTCCACCCAAACAATGGGAGTAGTTGGGAGCTTAACATGAAGTTCTGACAGGAGAGATTGAATCCATGTGATTTCTGCAGAGGCATAAGCTAAGCTGCGGTACTCAGCTTCAGTGCTTGAACGGGAAATGGATGCCTGCTTCTTGGAACACCAAGTAACAGGATTTCTACCAAGAAAAATGCATGTACCTGTGATAGACTTTCTGTCATCTAGGTCGGCGCCCCAGTCAGAATCTGAGAAGCCAGTTATAGTTGGACTGGAATATTTAGTGTAGTGAAGGCCATGGTTAAGAGTCCCAGCAAGGTACCTTAAAATCCTCTTCGCAGCTTTCAGGTGAGTGTCAAGAGGAGACTGCATATATTGGCATACCTTATTAACACTAAATGCAATGTCAGGTCGAGTGATGGTGGCATATTGCAAGGAACCAACCAAACTCCTATAGGCTGAGATGTCCTTAATAGGTGAGCCAGTTTGCTTGGAGAGAATTGGTGATGTAACCATAGGTGTGGAAACAGGCTTGGCTTCAGTCATGTTCATCTTGGAGAGAATGTCCTTGATATATTGGGTCTGAGATAAGAAGAGACCTCCTGGGGATTTTTGAACTTTAATTCCTAGAAAGTGATGAATTTCACCTAGGTCCTTTAAGGAGAAGAACTTACTTAGTTGAACAATAACATCTTGCACCTCATGATCAAGGTTCCCTGTGACTAAAATGTCATCAATATACACTAAAAGCCAAATGGTAGAGTGGGCAGTGTGTTTGATGTAGAGAGAGTGATCAGATATAGAATGTGTGAAGCCCAAGGTATGTAAGACTCCCTGAAGTTTGATGAACCAAGCTCGGGGAGCCTGTTTAAGACCATATAGAGACTTTTTAAGCTTGCACACCAAAGGATCTGCAGCAGAAGTTTCAAAACCTGGTGGTTGAGACATGTAAAGTTCCTCCTGAATGCTTCCATTGAGAAAAGCATTGTTAATATCAAGTTGTCTGACCTTCCAATTATGATTCAATGCAAGTGAGAGAACAATCCGGATTGTAGTTGGCTTTACAACTGGACTAAAAGTGTCACTGAAGTCAATGCCAGCTGTTTGGTTGTAGCCTTTGGCTACAAGCCTGGCTTTGTATCTGGCAATGGAGCCATCAGCATGATGTTTGAGTTTAAAAATCCATCTGCAGCCAATGAGGGGTTTATGAGGTGGCAGAGGAACTAAGTCCCATGTTTTGTTGGCAACAAGAGCATCAAACTCACTGAGCATGGCAGCCTTCCATTTGGGATGAGACATTGCTTGTTGATAAGACTGAGGAATGTTGGTGTCCAAATTGACAGTGAGAAAGGCCCTGGGTTTGAGATTACCAGTTCTTGACCTAGTGACCATGTGATGTCTCTGGTCAGCTGCACCTGCATTGTTAGTAACAGAAGTAGATATATGTCCATCCACAATTGGCAATTCAACTACAAGAGGTATAGTGGAATGAGAGGACATGGAATTATTGTGAGAGCTGGAATGAGATGTGGGTGTGGAGGGTGTGGGGATTGATTGATTATGAACTGGTGATGAATGTGATGAGTGAGGTGAGTGGGGTGGAGAGGTGAGGGTGTGATGAGTGACACTTGGAGTGGCAGGAGTTGTTGGAAGTATTGGTGGTGCAGGAAGGTGAGGGAAAGCTGAATATTGAGGATCTGAGGGTGACATGTTAGAAGAGTCTGTTTTGGCAAATGGAAATTTAAGTTCATCAAAGACAATATCTCTGGTGATAACAATCTTGCCACTGGGTAGAAGAGCTTTGAAGCCTTTGTGTTTAGAGCTATAACCCAGAAAAGTGCTAGGCAAAGATCTTGGTTGTAATTTGTGTTTGTTATATGGTCTCAGATTAGGGAAGCAGAGACATCCAAAGGTCTTGAGGTGGCTATAGTTAGGTTTATGACCATAAAGTTTTTCCAAGGGAGAGATAAATTTCAGACTCTTTACTGGGAGTCTATTGAGAATGTAGACAGAGGTATTGAAGGCATCATCCCAGTATGAAAGGGGAACATGTGAGTGGGTTAAGAGAGCAAGGCCCATTTCAACTATTGTTCTATGCCTTCTCTCAGCAAGACCATTTTGAGCCGGTGTGTAAGGACATGAGATTTTGTGTTGAATGCCAGCTGCATCAAAGAGTTTTGTGAGAGGTCTAAACTCACCACCCCAGTCACTTTGAATTGCTTTGATTTTGTGGTTAAGTTGATTTTCAACAAGGTTTTTAAAGTGAACAAAAACATCATGGACTTCAGATTTTTGTTTAAGAAAATATATCCAAGTAAACCGAGTGTAGTGATCAACAAAACATACATAATAATGTGAGCCAGATTTTGAGGTAATGGGAGAGGGTCCCCAAAGGTCAGTGTGTATAAGTTCAAGTGGTTTGGTGTATTGAGTGTTAGAGGCATTGTAAGGTAAAGCATGACTTTTAGCCTGAAGACATGAAGAACATAAAAACTTTTCATTAGCAGCAAAAGGGACCTTACAATCATTCATAACTTTGGCAACAACATCTAAGGCTGCATGACCTAATCTAGAGTGCCACAATTCTAGATTGCCAGTCTTATTACAAGAGACCATAAAAGAGCTAGGATTGAACTGATTGCAGGTAGAAGTAGCTGAAGAGTTGATGGCTGACTTGGAGCTTGGGTTGGCAAACATGTAGAGACCATCTTTAAGGGATCCTTTGAGAAGAACTTGATGAGTGGCTAGGTCCTTCATAAGACAAAACTGAGGGTGAAATTCAAAAAATACTAAGTTATCTTTGGCAAATTGTGACACATTGATGAGGTTCTTAGTTATGGATGGAACATGAAGTAGATTTTTAAGAAGAAAAGGCTTAGAACTGGTATTGTATTTAAGCAAAGAATTGCCAATGTGTGAGATGAGCAAACCTGTTCCATTACCAACTTGAAGCTTGTTGTTCCCATGGAATTCTGAAGCAAGGCTTAGGTTAGAGAGCTCATTGGTGACATGGCTCGAGGCTCCTGAGTCAGCAAACCAGTTAGCTTCAGAGGCAGCATCACTATTTGCATATTGGTTAAGCTGAAATTGTGGTGTTTGAACATTGAAAGCAGGAGTGGTGACTGTGTGGGCTTGCATATTGGTAGGTCCAGGGTATGAGGCATCAAATCTGTGATAACATTTGTCAGTCGTGTGATTGGAGAGGCCACACACTTGACAAGGTATCCTAGAGTTGTTTCTGAAACCTCTTCCTCCTCTTCCTCTGGAATTGTAGTTTCTTCCTCTTCCTCTACCTCTGCCATAAGACTGATTTCCAGTACCTCTGTTCTGATTGGTTGTTGTGTTTTGACTGACCAAATTCGCAGTAGGGTTAGATCCATCCATGTTGATGAGAGGTTGAGGATTCTGGGAAAAGAG